CCCCAAAACCCCAAAACCCCAAAACCCCAAAACCCCTCTAAACTGAATTTAACTGAAATAAAGCAGTTAAAATGTTTTAATACATATCTATGGACTACATAAATAGATATATAATCTAATAAATCTTTTTCCAAATAAAATGTTATCAAAAGTAGTAAGGAGAAGCTTCGCCTCATTCACAAAGGTCAAGGTCCAAAATCCAGTAGTCGAACTCGACGGTGATGAAATGACCAGAATTATCTGGAAGTGGATTAAGGAAAAGGTAGGTTCACTGACTGCGCATTGATTTGAATGCAGATACTTAAAATACTTAATATTGAATTGGCTTTTAATCTTTATTTATAGCACATTGAGCCATATGTACAACTAGATATTAAATACTACGATTTATCTATGGAGAACAGAGATAAGACTGATGACAAGATCACAGTTGAATCAGCTGAGGCCATCAAGAAACACAAGGTCGGAATTAAGTGCGCCACCATCACACCAGATGAAGAGAGAGTCAAGGAGTTCAACCTTAAAAAGATGTGGAAATCTCCAAACGGAACCATTAGAAATATCCTCAATGGTACTGTATTCAGAGAACCAATCATCTGCACCAACGTCCCCAGACTCGTGCCAGGCTGGACAAGGCCAATCATCATTGGTAGACATGCCCATGCTGATCAATACATGGCAACTGATGCAGTTGTTTAAAAACCAGGAAAATTCATCATGAAATATCAACCAGATGATGGCTCTGAAGGATGGGAAACTCTTGCCTACCACTTCAAGACTCCAGGTTGTTTATTGGGAATGTACAACACCACCCCATCAATCACCACCTTCGCCAGAACTTGCTTCAACTACGCTCTTGACAGAGGCTACCCCTTGAAACTTTCAACTAAAAATACCATTCTTAAGAAGTATGATGGATTATTCAAGGATGTCTTCTAGGAAATGTATGATAAGGAGTTCAAACCACTCTATAAAGCTAAGGGAATCGATTATGAGCACAGACTTATCGATGATATGGTAGCTTAAGTTGTTAAGGGTGATGGTGGAGTCGTATGGGCATGCAAAAACTATGATGGTGATGTTCAAAGTGATATTGTCGCACAAGGATATGGTTCATTAGGTCTCATGACCTCAGTTCTCTTAAACGAAGATAACGTTGTTGAAGCTGAGGCTGCTCACGGTACTGTCACAAGACATTACAGACAGTGGTAAAAGGGACAATCAACCTCCACCAACCCAATTGCCTCAATCTTTGCCTGGACCAGAGGTTTGATGCACAGAGCAAAACTCGATAACAACGAGCTCCTATTGAAGTTCTGCAAAACCCTAGAAAAATCTATTGTCGACACCGTCGAGAGAGGTCACATGACAAAGGATCTAGCCATTTGTGTCCATGGTAACAAGGTACAAGAAGGAACTCACTACGTTAGCACTGAGCTCTTTATGGATAAAATTGATCAAGACTTCCAAGAGCAATGGAAAAAGATTGTTGGTTGAAAATAATCATCTTTTATATGAGAGTGTAGTTGATTTGACAGCAATCACGCACTTTTATATAAAGCAAGCACAATTTTATTTAATTTTAGTATAAACTTAAATTATCAATTAAAGCGTATTAATGCATAAGCGCTTAGATTTAATAGAGTTGCATTTTGAATTTAATGTGTGAAATGAAATTAAAGATAAGTTATTTTAAATTCACATAGATAATTCACATTAGAGGAGAGGGGTGTATGTACAATAATTGATCATTATTGATATTGATTCTATCGTTTACAAATCGCGAGCAATCCATTCACAGGACTGATTACTGCTTTAATTTATTGAGTGTGAGTCTTTCAAACTTATTGGTAGAGGGCTGAATCTTGATCTGACTCTGTCTCAACTTAGAATCGTTTTCAAGTTTTTGGAAAAATTCATTCTGTCTGGTCATGGGATCAACTCTTACAGTTAAAGGACTCATAGCATCTCTATTTTTGTAGTTAGTTACTCTTTCAGTTTTTTGGTTAGGTACCTAGGCTCTATTTTGCTAGCTATCGAAGGTGGACATTCCTACGGTGTCAAAGATAATATTTGTCTGGTCTTTCATCATTGAGTTGTCATTCTTTGTCTCAAGAGTTTTCAGCTGAGTGTCATCAGTTCCAAGCTTAGTAGCGCTTAACACTGTTTAGAGTAGATTCATAGACTACTAATTAGAGCACTGTTTCAAAGGTATTAGTCTCTATCTACTTTGATGATTCGAGCTTGAGATACTAAAAGTTTCCTTTATTGGAACATTAGTTTACTTCTAAAGTATTATCTTCTGAGGAGTTCTGACTAATAGATTTTACCCTTTAGATAAACTTATACTTGATGGCTGATTTTTAGTAACAATTGTATTATTATTATTGGAAATTATCTCAGGAACTCTAGTCTGTGATTTGTTTTAGCCTTAGACAGTATTCCTACTGACACTAGTGCTTTATTAATCAATATGAGATCTGCTCACGTCTCTTTAAAGCTTCTATTGATGAATTCTCTCATCAGTTTCTTTTTTCTTTAGCAGTATTTGTTGTATTTTTTCCTCTTTTTCTTTAAATCTCTACTCAAGTTCTTTTTGCTTCATATCTTCTTTTTAGTATTTTCTTTGAACATGACTAGATTGATAAGCTTTATCTTGATTTCTATTAGTTTTAGTTTTGATTGATTAAATAAGACTGTTCTATTGAGACTACTGCTAGACCTTTTAATGTGATAATGACTTCTGAATAGTAATCTATCTTCTTTAGTTGTCAATGCTATAATCCTACTAATTCTGCTTGCTCTCATCTCTCTTTTGATTGAATTGAATCTAGCCTTGGTAGTAGTAGTTGTTTTGACTCTCTTACTAGTGTATCTATTACTTCATTTCATTAAGTTTATCTTGGCTCTTAGAAACATCTTAATTAAGTCTTATTGGAGACTTTGAACTTGATTTATCTTGTTTCAAGACTGGCGATAGCAAATTATTTTTTAAGAGGATGGAGTTTTTGCATGAACTTTGCTATAAAATGACAGGAACATCAAAGTTTTAGCAGGAACTGCTAATGCTTCCATACAATTGGTTGAAGTTAGTGTTTGGTGAAACTTTAGCCTAGCAAATGGAGTTGGATTCGCTGTACATCAACTACCTTAGTGGGGTTTTATACTGATTAGAGCTGTAGTTGCTTAAAGTATCTTGTTGTTGATTCATGGCAACATGAGAAGCTTTACTGCTTTAATTTGGTCTTGAAAAAGAACCCATTTAACAGTTACTGCTGCCGATTACACTCTGCTGATTTAGATTCTGAGAGAACATTTCACTCTCAACCATATCAATTTATGTAAGAGAGATCCTTGATGAGGCTCGTTCGCTTTCTCTTCGACTGAATTTTTGGCTGTTTTTATTTTGAAAGGCATTGCTTTCTTGTTCTTCGAGAGAAGGCTCTTCGTTAATAATACTTTGAATTGATTGCATTCGATTGTTTTCATAGTTCCTTTAAGACTAAACTTCTTCCTTATAGTCCACAAAGTCCTGATCAACTACTTTCAAGTCAATCAGTCTTGGAGATTCATCTCCTGAATCATTGAGAATTTTAACAGTATCTGGCTATGACTTAAAGTTAGAGAAGTAGTTTGAGTTAGAGTTTGAATTTTACGAAGCGTATTCGTAGATAGTGAAGTGCTGCTTTGATAGCTAAGATGTGTTGCTTTTAAAGGGTATTCTTTGGTTTTCATCTCTCACCTCATTAGCACAAATCTCAACGAAATCCTGAGACGATTGATTAGTATTCGTGTTAATCTGATATCTGGTGGGTGAGATAGTTGATCTATGAGATTTTTGAGAGCTTTAGAGGCCTCCATCAAATTGCTGTGAACCTAGACTATTTCTCTCTTAGAGTCTTTAATAAGCATCCTTGAGATATTCCATCATTAGTTGGTCAAGATGGGAGGTTTTCAGAGTTTCAGTCTCAGGCGTGCACTCTCTGATATCTCCATAGGTATCTCCTTGAGCTTCATTTATTGAAGAAGTGTTCAAGTGGTCATTCAGCATGCTTTCTTCTCTTACTAGTCTTGAATTCTCCAGAGAGCCAAGTTTTTCTTGCAATACTTCAAATGGTGTTTGAGATTGAATCACATCTTTAATATTTCTGGGAGAAGGAGTGCTGAGTCTATCAAGTTCATGAATCAACTGCACTTTCTGGTGAATCTTGTATTCCTAGATGAATTTCTCTCTTTGCTAGCTTTCTTGTCTCTAACTCACACTATTGTTGTTGTCAAGAGTATTGCCTAAACCATCATGCTTGAGATAAATGCTTGCAAGTAAGGAACTTTGCTAGTATGTATCATGAATATTTAAAACACCAGCACCTGATCCTGAATTAATGTAAGATGAAGCAGGTAAGTTTTAACTGGCATTATTATTGATATTGTTATTAGCATTGAATGTTTGATTAAAGGCATGCTCGGTGAAATTTTCTTGCATCACTTAAATACTCGGTAGAGAAGGAGTCTGAATAGGTAAAATCTCCTATGAAAATTGATCAATGATCTCAGCACTGTCTTATATATTTCTCCTATTTGAGGCAGCGCTATTTAATCTTTCATTTAGGATTGGCTGAATAAAGAAGTTCTCAATGACTAAATCACATTTGACTTCTTGCTCTTAACTTGAAGTGTTTTGCTGTTAGAATGTCTCATTTTATTTGTTATGTTTGTTGATTGACAGGTTGAATGTAGTAGTCTCAGAGGCTTCAAAGCTTTCCTCATTTTGAATGAGTTTTCCCTAAGTCTGGATGATCTTGACTTCACTCAGCTTATTTTAAGGCGAGATGCTAAGCTAATTAATCATATCGAATTAACAATTCACCTCATTAATGCTAACCTAAAGACTAGCCTTGCTTTCCTAGGATCTCTGAATCAGCTTCTTATTCAAGGTGACTAAGCTCATCTCTTTTTCCTCTAGACTTTGCCATTTGCAATGCTAGTCAGAGGAATTAGTCACTTACTGATTGTCTTAAAGGATTTAACGCATTTTCAAGGACTTCTGACACTGTTAACTGTTATATGACTGCTGCAGGGTATTTTGATAAGTCTAGCCATTGCTTACTTTACATCTAAGAGTCTGCTTTTTAATTTAGGTTGGACTATTATTCTTAGAGGAGAAAGCACTTCTATGGCTTGAGAGTGAATTACGAACAATCTTTATGTGAGATGATCTGGCAGAGATTTGATCCTAGACTGGTCTGATCTCTTAGTTTATGTTAAGGATTTAAAGTGCTGGAGTACTTTCAGTGTTCCCACTGTTGAACTTTTCAGCACCGATGTTGGACACTAAGGATTTTTCTCTAGAAGACTGATTTTCTTTGTCTTTGCCAGTGCTTCTATTCTATCTAAGCTTTGATCTATTATTGCGAGTAAAGTTCTCAATAGGCCCAGCCAAATATCTATGACTGTCATCATGACCTAAAGCATGCTTAAAGTCTTTTTTCTCTGAATGTTAGAGAGAATCCTGGACACAGGCTTCTCTCAAGGGGCTTTCATTTATCATTAAATTTTGAAGGACTGGATCAACAGTATTGTTTGAAATGCAAGCTTTGGTATTTAGAGCAATTTAGTCAGTTAAAAATATACTGGAGGTGAATAAGTTGCCATCCTTAGATTAACTTTGACAGTGAAGCTCTTAGACACTGAAACTTGGATAGTCTAGTTGCATTTTCTAATAGTCTTTGTGCATGCATTAAACCTTGTAGTATTAGTTCATGTTATTTCTGGAGGATGCTGAACTTTGACCCTTGAGGCTTTATTCACTTACTAAATTTTGCCTCTGAACTTGCTATTGCTCTTCTGGATTTTCAGTGATAAGTCTATTTGAAATATCAATCTACGCTAATTTTTCCTCAATAATGTCATTGTCATTGGGATCTATGTCAATCATGGTGTCCATTTGCTATTTTGGCTATTCTGCAATGTTTTTATGCTAAAGATAGGCATCCTACGGTTTGACTATTTATTCATTGCTAAAGTAAGCATCTGAGATACCTCCATTTGAATCAACTGATAGGCAAGAGTTGAAGTTACTAGGATAAATAAGGTTGTTATTTCTCATTTCAGGCTTCATAGTGCAAGTGCTCACTTGATTCCTTATTTTGTTGTTCAGCATTGAAAACTGCTTGAATACCTATTAATTTAAGTCCTTGATGACAGACTATCTGCATATTTGGTGATTTGAAACTACATTCTTAGTTATCAAAGAGTCAGTGGGGATGCTCGCATTATCATCTGACATTAGAGATTCTGCGCTTAGGTTGGCTTCTGAGCATGATGAGTTACTCTAATCTAAAATGTTGCAGTTACGACTTTCACTCATGTTGCTTGCATTATGATTTTGAGAAGATCTACGATGGTAGTTATTCTTGAGATTGGTTGCCTTTCTTGACTACTTAATTTCTTGAAGGATATCAGAATTGCTTATTTAATCTATCATTACCTAGATTTGCTAGAGTTCTTCATAGTTTATGATCTCCTTTTTTAATTATTTAAAATCTAGATTCACTGGCATGTTGTAGTTTTTACTTTGCTTATTAAGGTCAGAGATCTTGGTTTTTTAATTCATCTGAGTATTGACTCTTTAGCCGATTTAATTGCTTCCTTAAGTTTGTGCCATATTAGATCTTTGTGATAATAACTACAGCTATCTTTCAACTTAGGTGGCTGAATTGTTTCCTCCAAAGGTGAGCTAGGTATTACTTTTAAACTACTAATTGAAATTTTAATTGTAGTTGCTTCCTTGGCCAGACTTCATATATCCATTTGGTGGGCTATTCAAGTTAACTTATCTCTCATCAGTTGTTGTCATATCAAGATCCTCAGCTTCTAAAAATTCAGTCTCTTCTTCATTGTCATATTCGATCTCTTCGTTTTCCATTACTTAGCCTAATGACTACCGATGCTCTAGTACTGACTGTAATTGCTGCAAAGATTAGTGAATGACTCCAACCTGTTCGTAATCAAGTGATCTTTTCATTAAGCTCTCTGTAGAATTCATAGTCTTCAACTCCTGAGTCTTGTTCTTTTAGAAATCTTGCTGATTTATCTGAATATTAACAAGACTCTTTCGAGTATTGCCTTCATCTTACAAAGTTTTAAAATCACTGACACTATTATGACAATCCTCTGTAATTTTGCTGAAGACCGGAACTACCTCTTAGATAAGTTGTTAAAGCATTTAGATTTGGACCTTGAGTTTCATGTTTTCATCTATCAAAGTACTTATTTTAGGTTACTATTGTGTTTATCGAACCTTCTTATTATTTGCTACAGGTGAGAATACCTTCTTTTGTGATTAAGTTTTACAATCATTAACGTTTTTGCTGTTTAATTATGATTTTTTAGGATTAATCGCACTATTTTATTCAGCCTTTACCGTATTAGATCTTGTTCTATTGGCATTTTGTCTCATTGGAGATGGTGATTATTAATTAGAGTTAGCTTTGAGTATTTTCTTCAAGGGAGTTGCTGTGTCACTCTTAAAGACATTTGCGTTTTGGGGCGACTTTGATTATTATGATAGGGGAGTGAACTTCATTTGCAAATTTATTTGCTAATTAATTTTAATTTCTAACGTTATCTTTATAACATGCCAGATATATTTTTAAGTTCATTTATTTATAGTTGCTATTCTAATTTACATAATTGACTCATGGGGTTTTGGGGTTTTGGGGTTTTGGGG